GGAGGTAAGAGTACCAAAAAGGCTCTCCTGATTTGTGAAAAAGAAGGAAGTAATAGAGAATGAAATTACTACCGGAAAACACCAAATTAACGTGATTAATTTACTTAATTTTTTTTTAAATAAAATTTTAAATTTTAGATGGAGTTTTGCCAAGGTCCCAAGTACATTCAGTTCCAGCAATGCAGAAAAGAGTGCAACCCAAAAAGCGACAGCAAGGTAATGAATATTTTTCATAATTAATTTTCTAAGTGTTTTAAATGATGTCCTACTACCTCTTTTGTCTACAACTTAGTTCTTAATTTAGTATCCAGTTTATTTCTATTTTAATTAACTTAGTTTGTATTCTTCTTTTTTAAGTACAACGTTCTTAATAATTCTCACTACGTTTTTATCTCTCTCACCCACCGCACTAGCACTGCCCCACGGAGACATCATTTTGCTAACAATGCACTTACACAAATACAGAATTTCATTACTATACGGATAACCAAGAGAAATTTAGTCTACACTCCTCAACTAGAATCGATGAGCTTTATGTAAGGCAATTCAAGGTATGTACACCCATAGTCATTGAGATAAGGTTTGTAGCAATTAACTAGGAGTAAACGACCAAAGCACTTGGTTAGATTTAACCCTTAGGAATTGGTTATTCTTCAGAACCTAGGTGTTGCCGTGCTGGTGCTTTTTTGGGCTGCTGCTGGCGCGTTGGTGCTTCGGCTGTGTGGGTGGATGCTTTGGAGTAAGGTAATAGTAAGTGAGGTCAGTTTAGTGGTAAGGTAGTTCGTGGAGGTTAAATAGGATGCTGGCTTTGGTGTGGGAGTTTTGGAGATGGGGATTTTGGACTTAATGCTGGTGTAATCTTGGGAACAGGTGGTTTTACAGGTGCTGTTTTGGGAGCGGGTGGTTTCACGGAAGTGGCGGTTGGTGGTAAATCCTTCGGGACTGGTAATTTAACTGGAGCAGATGACGGTGGTAAAGGCTTGGGATCAGGTAATTTTGTAGGAGCAGATGTTGGTGAAGTGTCTTTTGGAATTGGTGATTTCACAAGAGCAGATAATGGAGATGTAGGTTTTGGAACTGGTAATTTCACAGGAGCATATGATGCTGGGGATATAGCCTTGGGGACTGGAGATTTCCCAGGAGATGAAACCTTAGGAACCGGTGATTTCACAGGTGCAGATGATGTTGGAGATGAGACCTTGGGAACCGGTGATTTCACAGGTGCGGATGATGTTGGAGATGAAACCTTAGGAATTAGGGATTTTGCAGAACCTAGGGTTCAGGTGAGTAGAGTGAGCGGTCTGCAATCTAAACGAGAAATGAAAGAAGAGGGAGTGAGCGGATGGAATGAAGGGAGAAACTAGCGTTCAGGTAAAATTAAGGGAGAAATTGTCAGAAGATTTTTAGAGGAAAATTAACTTTTAGAAAAATAATGGCTTTAGGCAAAGATGGGTTTTAGATCTGGAGGGAATAAAATTTTAAAATTGCTAAAATGAAACTTAGTCTAAAATTTTTAGAGGGAAAAATGTAAAAGAATTTGAAGATGATGAATAAAAATATATTTTTATTTGAAGAGGTTATAAATCTCTCTTGAAAGGAATTAAACCCCTCACAAATTTTGTCAGTTAAATAATTTAAATTAAACATCTTAAAGTATGTTAATTTGAGGTAGTTTTTTATAACCTCCCCAAAATAACCCCCTCTAAATAAGGTTTTTTTTTTTAGTGTGTAAAAACTCTTAAAATGTTACAAAAAATTTTAATTTACTAAGTGTAACGATTTGGTGCACCTTCCAAAACGTTAACAAATTTTTGTTCAATAAATAAATTTCTAATTTTTGTATGAAGATGAGTCCATTTTTATGGTACTATTAAAAACAAAAATAGATAATATAAAAGAACGTATGATGCCCTGTTTTTATTTCAGCTGGATGGATAACTAACTAGATGAAGGCTATAAAGTTATATTTGCACAACTGCAAGAAGTGGAAGCTTAAAAAGAACGAATTTGTGTTACAAGTCAATCAACTTTGACAATTTCATGGGTACGTTGAAGTTGAAGCTAATGAAAATTAATCATGACTGATCGTAAAAGCATAACGTGAGAAGCAATAAACAAGTTGATTAACAAGTTTACATGGATAATAATTAAAGTATCAACAGTACTGATGAAGCTTAAAAACTCCAATAAAATATACGAGATAGCATTTGAAGGAAACCTAAAAGTGATCGACACTGTTTTCTTCTATTTCATGAATAACCTCCAACTCAAAATTTTGACGCCTTGCAGGAAAAATGGTATTTGTTGTAGAAGAACCAGAAATATGAAAAGGAGAAGGGGGTGCTACTAACTCACATCCATCCCCTTCAAGCATTTGTACCACAGTTTTCATGGAAGGACGATCAGCTGGGTTCCACTGAATGCACCAAAGTCCTACAATGGCAAGTTTCTTGGCAATTTTAGCATCTGCATCATCCTCAACGCTAATTTGCACATCTTTTCCTTCCACCAAGTTATGGATCCACTCTGGGTACAGAATTTGGAAACTGTCCTCAACTGACACATTTGTATTCTTTCTTCCTCCAACCATTTCTAAGAGCAACATCCCATAGCTGTAAATGTCAGACTTGTAAGACACATTACCAAAGTTCCGAGAGAAAACCTCAGGGGCAATGTACCCCAAAGTTCCCCTGGCGGCAGTCATCGACACGGTGCTCTGATTTTTGGGACACAGCTTGGCTAAGCCAAAATCAGTGATTTTTGGGACAAAAAGGTCATCTAACAAAACATTGTGAGGATTAATGTCAAAGTGAAGAATTCTATGATCACAACCAAGGTGGAGATACTCAATCCCTTTCCCAACACCAAGACCAATTTGTTGCAACTTCTCCCAACCAAGGAAAACATCCTTGTTGTNCATCTTTTCCTTCCACCAAGTTATGGATCCACTCTGGGTACAGAATTTGGAAACTGTCCTCAACTGACACATTTGTATTCTTTCTTCCTCCAACCATTTCTAAGAGCAACATCCCATAGCTGTAAATGTCAGACTTGTAAGACACATTACCAAAGTTCCGAGAGAAAACCTCAGGGGCAATGTACCCCAAAGTTCCCCTGGCGGCAGTCATCGACACGGTGCTCTGATTTTTGGGACACAGCTTGGCTAAGCCAAAATCAGTGATTTTTGGGACAAAAAGGTCATCTAACAAAACATTGTGAGGATTAATGTCAAAGTGAAGAATTCTATGATCACAACCAAGGTGGAGATACTCAATCCCTTTCCCAACACCAAGACCAATTTGTTGCAACTTCTCCCAACCAAGGAAAACATCCTTGTTGTCCCGTTGAACCAAGAATCTCTGCAACGACCCATTCGGAAAGAAATCGTAGACGAGAGCACGGTGGAACTCATCTGCACAGAAACCAAGCAGGCGAACAATGTTAACGTGATGAATTTTCCCAATGGCTCTCACTTCATTTATGAAATCCTTTCCATCTCCCACTGTGTCTTTGAGTATCTTCACAGCAACAATAATTTCACTAGAGAGCATTCCTTTGAACACTGCTCCATGAGATCCTTCCCCTAAACTCTCACTAAAACCATTTGTGATTCTCTTGATGTCAGCATAAGTGAATCTGGTGGGCTTCATTGCCCTGTAATCCTCCAAGAATTTCTCTATTCGAGCCTGGTCTTCTCCTCTCTTCTTATAGAAGTCATATGTATAAAACAATGCCTTGACCGATAGCAGCAAAAGCATGAAACCACCTATTCCTGTTGGTGGAAGAACAAGTTAACCAAAGTGAATAAAAATTTAAGCAAGGATTAAATACAATTGCAAGGGATCAACAAAATAGCAAAACTATAACATATAGTAACTTTAATACTGCATACCTGCAGCAATGCGGACGACGGTTGACGTGGGAATCCTTTTTGTTTGGCTAGCATAACATTCAGTTGCACGGTTAGTACCATTCTTCCATTTGCATTTTTGGCCTTGTGCTTCACAGTCTCCACAGTCAGGTTTTGACCATTCCATATCAAGCTTACCCCCATTATACCAACTCCACCCTTCGACGTAAACATCTTTCAGCTTCGTGCAGGATACCAATTGCGGGTGAGTGGAGACGATGTGGGATCCTCCTACAAAAATTGGGCACGAGGAATCGCATTGGAAGACGGAAACTTGAAACTTAGCATCATCTATGGGAAATCGGAATGGAGAGATGGATGTCGTGCCGAGTTTCAAGAGTTGATCATTAAGGCAATTTTGGGGGTCATATATTCTAATTAGCATAGACTGGTAATCAATTTCTGTGACAAACAATTGTATTGGAAGGGCAGGCAGCTCCAGAATGGGCTCATTTTGTTGGGTACATAGCAGACCGAACTCAGGCGGGTAGTCGGTGGTGTGATTCAAGTTTTTATTTCTGAGATAAAATGGAAATTCAATGCGAACTTTGCCACATTTATCGGCGACGTGGTTCTTGCCGGTCGCAGGATTCCCTACCAGAAACAGCAGCGTCCATAGAAGAGATAGCTTCTGAAAATTGAGCATTTTGGGGTTGATTTGCAGTTTCAGGACGTCTTTCTAGTCAGCTCAAGTTAAACATGGACTTGGTGTGGTGGCCGGGTGTACCAGCAACTCCGCGTTGTCTTCCTGTTCAGTCAATTCAATGACTTACGTTACGGGTCTAAATTTTCCACTTTAAATGGACAAGCCAGTCAAATGACCCTGCTTCTTGTCGAGTGGCTCTTTTTTTTTTTTTTTTTTTTTTTTAAATTTCCTCTTATCCATGTAAAAATGTACAATTTAAAAAATAAAATATAATTCATTTTATAAAACCAAATGAAAGAGCTGTACAATTATTTTAAGTTGAGAATTTCATATTTTCTAAAATATTAAAATTATAATTATTGTTTTAGATCACGATGAATGATATTCATTTATTAATAATTTCAATCAGTGGTCCGTCTAACTTAATATATTTAAGTTCAATTTCTCCAATTGGAGGAGCAGAGTTAACAATGAGCCTCTTACCCTCTTGCTTTCGCTGCTCACAATCAGTGGTTGTGTCGGTGGTCATCATTCTTGTGCTATTCCACCAAACTTGCAGTGCCAAGCATCGCAGGTCCTGTCCATCTTCTTCGTGCGGCGAAATTCTCGACATAAAATATCCATTCCGACTGAAAGGCGATCCTCGCGGTTGCGGCCTCCCCGGGTACGAATTTGATTGCGTGAATAACAGGACACTGGTTACTCTGTTTTCAGGAAAATACTATGTGAAGGAAATCAATTACAATATGTACGAAATCCGGCTGAGTGAAGCGGGTGTTTTGGAGGAGACTTCTTGCTCTTTTCCTCGCTATTTCTTATCCGGAACAAATTTCAGTGCCAACGGTGCTGATCCGCTGACTTTTCCGGACTATTGGTCGCATGGTTATTGTTCTGCAGAAGTAGGGTTTCTTAACTGTAGTAACCGAGTGAGTGATGATCCTCGATATGTCGAAGTGAAAGCATGTGGTAGTGATTCCGGAGGAGTTATCTACGCCGTTCTGGACCTTACAGCGAAGGACACGAAGGTTGGATGCAGATTAAAGATGGCTACCTTGGCAAACTGTACGGATAACAAGAATAATGTTTCCTATGCTGATATCCTCAAATCTATGGAAGAAGGAATTTGGTTGTCTTGGTTTCCAGTTGTTTGCAGGGACTACTGTGGAAATGGTGTCTCTTGCTTCCTCAATGACACCACCAAACAAATTCAATGCGATACTTGCCAGATCTACAACCACCCTACCCACAATTGTGGTGAGATATATTAATCTACCTCTGTCTGCCCCCTTTCTATTCTCATTCAGATTATGATTATTTATTTTCAGATTTCTAAATTATATAAAATGCATATTTTTTTTTAAAAACATACAAAATATGAATAATTCGGCTTCAGAAAACATGGGTTGTAATAACAGTAGTTATGTTTCAAAACATCACTTCCATAACATGGTGTTAAGGCTCCCCTTTTTTTCATTTTAAGAAATAAAAGTAGTGTGAAACTTCGCTTTTAAGAAAAAATAGAAAACAAAATTATATTTTAAAAGAATTTTTTTATTAAAAGAAATATATGTTTTGAAACAAACTTATTTGTTTCTCATAATGATTTTTTAAAATTTACCAATTTCTTAAAAATATACCCATGTAGAAAAACCTAAATATAATTAGATTCATTTCCAAATAAGCTTCCAATTTAATTATGGTTAAGACATAATTAAACTTTTGTTTTTTATTATTACAATGGTTTTTGCTTATTTGAAGTGTAAGAATAATATTATTAAAACTTTAAAAACTGTATAGCAATTTAATATTTTAAAATAAAAGAGAAATTTATATAGATTTTTTAAATATTACTATGACATTGTAATTCAAAGGAAAATTAATAATATCATTATAATTTACTCAAAAAATATCATGAAACTTGTTAAAGTTAATAAATATATTAGAGTAATGTTTTTTCCATAAAATATTATGTCTTTATACCTTTTCCGTCACGTAATCTTTTATTTCTTTTTCTTACTTTTATTTATGTAACTAATATACTATTTTAATTTACTTTTTTTTTATCTTTATATAAATATTTCTTTTATTATTTTAGGAATTCTATCGCGTATTATTGGATACCCTACAGGTACACACGCTATCCCATGGTTCGTCGTTAACTTCTCGCAATACCATTTTCTTCATCCATATTATTGTATTTATTGCTCAAAATTAACTTTTAAGGTTAAATTAGATTTTTGGTTTCTAATAATTAGAAAAAATTCTACTACTAATTATATATATATAAATATATATATATATATATA